GCCTATATTTGATTTGAATGCTCACCAACCCTATCGTAGTTCAATTTTGAATCAATCTTTGAACTGTGATGGTTCAGGCATATTTCGTGCCGAGATTTTTGGTCAAGGTTTTCGTGCAGTATTGGTTGGTTGAAAATGATTTTTCGCCATTGCCTGTTAATGTATGCAAATCATTTGGTGTGTCGTTTCCATTTAGGTCAGTGCTGGGGGAGAGCCCACCGACAAGCGGGTTGGGTGAGGTGGTGAAGTTGTTTGTGAAGTACTTGAGTTTGACAATATTGAGTACAATGGAAGTCCAAGCTGGAGGGCTTCTGGTGGTTTTGATAGTGGGACGCCAAGGGACTTTGTTTGCTTGTCACCTTCTGTGTGTTCCGTTGGCTCTTGGAACACTTGGATACAAAGGCCTTTGTATAGGTTTATATTGAGAACATTCTTGTTCTCTCCTGTGGGAACTTCGATAAAGAATACATCCCAGGTGTTCTCCGTATGGGTTAGTTATATGTTGCCTTGGACAATCAGCTTGGATGATTTTGCAGAGCTTGATGAGGTTGTCAATGGAACAAGTAAGGATATGAGGAATCAGGAAACACAGACTCAAATTTCCGGATATTCTCCAGTATGGCAAGCCTTTGTGTTGTCTGATTTTCTATATCAATGGTTATGCATTTCGTTGGGTTTGCACACAAGTTCCTTCATACAGATCCCGAAGTAATTGCCCAGATGGTATTGAAGGTTTGCTTCTTACCTGTAGCCATTTTTACTTTGATTAAGTGAATTTTCTGTCAATTCTTTCTTCTGGTTGTACAATAAAAGCTCCTATAGGCACACTAGGTGCCCGATCAAATGTGCCTCACCTGAAAGGGTCTAAGGTGCAATGATTAACATATCTAGGACCAAACCTTGACAGCACTGGTTTTTTCATGTATAGAGGGTACCATACTATATTAGGAGCTATGGTTATTTCATGTGGGCTCTAGCCTTTATGTTATCCAGTTGATGTCTTATTGTAATTGTATAACTTCCTATCATTTCCAATCATGGTTGAGTATCCTTTTATAGGTTATCAACACTGTATTGTTAAGGATTAGATTACAAGAGAAATATTGAGCTAAATGCTGAAATAAGGTAGACAACACTGTGCACTTGGTACTTGATAGTTGGTATATGTATATAGGTTTTCTTATGATTTAAGATAGATTGCTATCTTCTAGCCTATATTGATTTTCTATTTTTCTTCTAAGATATTTTTCATTCTCTCTTGTTTTACAGGTTATAAATTTGCTGACATCCTCTAAAGAGCTGGTTTATCTTATAAAGAATGTAGATAGCCTTTTTCATTCTAAACAAGGTGGATCAAGCAAATCAGCCCTCAATGGCCTGTATAGATTTGTTCCTTCAATTCGTGAACAATTGAAGGTATATTACTGACTGGATCTCTATGCTCTTCTCCTTTGCTTATCAATTTCAGCAAATAAGGGTTCACAAGTAGAAGTTCCGATCTATATGGTTTTTTTTAATTCAATTTATGGTTTCCCGATAGTTTCTGATGTTCTTTTTTTTTATAAGAAGGTAGGCTTCATTAAAACCCCCTTCATAATTAATGGAGCACAAAGTGCTCCTTAATCAGCGGAAGGAGGAAAAGAGTGCCTTAATTCATTAAAAACCGAAAGATACATAATGTTTAAAAACAAAACATACCCTTTACAATAATCAACCCAAATCATAACTAAAGCCTAAAAGAAAGCTGTGCAACTAGCCAATACCAGCTTTAGCTAAGCTATCAGCCTCAACATTGGCTGATCTAGGAACCCATCTAATAATACCATTAAGATCTCTTAACAAAATAACAATGTCTTTCACAAAGGCTCTGTAGACATAAGGACAACAATAATAATTTTTGACCAACTCCACTGCTAGTTTACTGTCTGATTCAACAATTAAGCGTTCTTTAAACCTCTGATGAATCAAAGCGAAGAAAGATAAGCCCTTCTTTAATGCCATAATCTCAATCAACAAAGGTGGACCTGGAATAGCAGCCTCTTGGAAAGAACCCATCACCGAGCCATCCTCAACTCTAAGAATGCCCCCCACACCACTTTTCCTCCAATCTCCATTCATTGCTGCATCCACGTTCAATTTTATAAAACCCTTTGGAGGAGGAGACCAAGACACAGTTTTGATGATCGAAGGCCTTGGATTAGAACAATAGTCCCCAATAGTTGGATAAGTAATGAGAGAGTCCTTAAGAATAGCCACGTTATTAAATTTAGCTAAGAACCAAGTAGCCAACCTACATCTTGCCATAAAAAATAACTCCATCTGATCTACTCTTCCCCCATCGAACACAATGTCATTCCTAGTTTTCCAAATCGTCCATAGAACCACACCCGAAATAAAGGACCATATTTTAGAATTAAGGACCATTTCTTCCCAAGCTACCATAAAACTTTGAGCATTGACCTGCAGAACCGAACAAACTCCCCACATTTTCAGAAATTTGTTCCAAAGATTCCATGCCACAGTGCAAGTGAAAAATAAATGTGCTGAAGATTCAGCCTCCTCTTTACAAAACGGGCAAGCAACATCAACAATAGCTGAAACTCCTCTCCTTTGTAATTCTTGCTTTACTGCCAATCTATTATACACCACCTGCCACATAAAGACCTCCACTCTAGGAGGCACTAAACCTCTCCAAATATATCTCATCCAAAAGGAGTCTGTTGTCGAAACAGGACAACAAGACTTCACACTAGACTTTACGGAATAGATACCTTCCCCATTCCCTTTCCAAACCAACCCATCTGACAAATCATGGGAGAGAGTGATATTGTTAATTATCGCCATAAGATCAGAAAACTGTTCCAGCTCCCAGTTACTCAGATTTCTTCTCAATTGAACATGCCAAGACCAAACTAATGACCGAAACTCTCCAAACTCATTAAGCTTCCCATTCATGTTTAAAGACAGAACAAACAGTCTCGGGAAAACTACTTTAAGAGGGAGATCAAGCGCCCAACTATCAAACCAAAAACTGATGCTCTCTCCATTCCCCACTCGTACTTTGAACAGACTTCGAAACTTAGCTCCAAACTGATCCTCTTTGAAATGATTTTGAACTACCGATTTCCAAATCCAAGAAGCATGTGCAGGAAGTTTATCCTTGAACAACATAGATGTAGTGTCCAGATTATACTTACAACAGATAACCTTCTTCCACACTGACTCTCTATCATTAGCAAACCTCCACGACCATTTTCCTAGGAGAGCTCTATTCATATAATTAAGATCCAAAACACCAAGACCACCAACACTTTTGGCAGAGCACACTGTCGACCAATTAATCCAGTGAATTTTCTTTACCTCTACCCCTCCTCCCCATAGAAATCTGGCCATGATGGAATTGAGTTTAATAATCACCGAAGAGGGAATTTTGAACAAGGACATGAAGTAGATGGGTAAAGAGCACAAAACAACCTTCAATAAAATCACTCTCCCTGCCATTGACAGAGTCTTCGCCTTCCATCCGGCTAACTTTTTGTAAAACTTCTGCACAACCGGATCCCACATCAATATAGAATTTCTCTTAACTCCAAGCGGCAGTCCCAAATATTCCGAAGGGAAATGGCCGACTGAACATCTAATTGCGTTAGCCCACTGCAATACCTCTTCCTCACTGATATTAATACCAAATAGTTTACTTTTAGTAAGATTCAGTTTGAGGCCTGACATTACTTCGAAAACCCGTAGAACCCTCTTAACATTAAGAATCTGTGTCTTCGATGCAAAGCAGAAAATTATTAGATCATCTGCGAATTGCAAATGAGATAAATTGTAAGAAGCCTCATCTTTGCCAACAACCAGACCAGAAAACAGACTCGCAGTTACTACCTTTAACAGCAGTAAGTTAAGCAGCTCTCCAACAAAATTAAACAGCAACGGAGACAAAGGAAACCCTTGTCTAAGACCTCTTGCCATAGCAAATTCATCCGTAGGTACACCATTAACTAATACCGACACCGAGGTTGTTGTAACACATTTCCAAATCCAACAGCACCATTTCGATCCGAACCCCATTTAGTCATGACTTTAAAGAGAATATCCCAATAAGGACTCTCTATTTGTGACCCTTCACTTGGGGATTGTTGCTCCTTATTAAGCTCTCCTATTATCAAAACGGTGTCCTGGTCTAAACCTCCAGAAGGATTTATTAAGCTGAATGTGGATGCGGCTGTGACTGCAGATTGGAGGAAGAGTGGTGTTGGGGGCATTCTTAGAGATCATGATGGTTCGGTGGTGGGCTCTTTTCAAGAGGCTGCTGGTCCAGGTCCTCCAGTTTTGTTAGAACTAAAGGCAATTTTGAAAGGGTTATCTTTCTTTGACTCGCTTCAGCAGCGGTTTAAGGAAAGGTTAATTGTTGAATCAGACAGTAAATTAGCAGTGGAATGGGTCAAGGACATCAACCGTTGTCCCTATGTTTACTTAGACATTGTGACAGCTATTGGTGGCAAGGTTAGTGGACTGAATAGTAGTATTAGATGGATTGCAAGGTCAGCCAATGTTGAGGCTGATAGCTTAGCTAAGGCTGGTATTGGGTAGATCTTTGGTTTTTAGTTGGGTTTCTATTAGGTTTGGGTTGCTTATTTGAATGATTGATTGTATGGTTGTTTAAGTATCTGTAACTTGTGGTTATCAATGAATTAATGAGGCACTCTTTTCCTCCTTCCGCTGATTAAGGAGCACCGTGTGATCCGTTAATCATGAAGGGGGTTTTTAAAGAGGCCTACCTTTCCTATCAAAAAAAAAATCGTATCGTAAGCCTTCTTAAAGTCTATTTTAAACACACAACCCTTCAATCCTTTCTTCCTCCACAAGTCAATTCCTTCATTAGCAATAAAAGAACAATCCAAAATTTGTCTACTCGGAATGAAAGCATATTGTGAATCACTAATAATATCATCAATGCAACCTCTTAACCTTCTCGAAAGACACTTGGACAAAATTTATACATCCCTCCTACTAGACTAATAGGTCTGAAATCGTCAAGCCCCCCAATATTAGAACCCTTTGGAATGAGAGTAATGAAAGAATGATTAATGCCATGCTCCCAATCTTTTTCCAAGAAAATGTTATTGAAAAATTTCAGAATATCACCTTTTAAAGAGGGCCAAAATTTCTTTTAAAAACCATATTCAACCCATCTGGCCCAGGAGCTTTGTTGCTATCACACAAGTTTATGGTTTCCCAAATCTCATCTTCCGTAAACTCCTTTTCTAGCATAAGACTCTGCTCCATAGAAATTCTTGAAAAAATCAACTTAATATCCTCCACTTCCAAAGTTGAACTACAATTGTAAGCTTTGAAAAAATGCTCTCTAACAACAGACTTGATAAGAACAGGATCTTTGATAATTTCACCTTCAACATTAATAGCATTCAAAGAATTCATCCTCCTCCTAATTGTGGAACATGTGTGAAAAAATTTAGAATTCCGGTCTCCATCTTTAACCCACTTCTCTCTTGAATTTTGGAACCAGATTTGTTCCTCAATTCTGTATAGTCTCCAAAGCTCATTTCTCAAAAACCTCAACTCCGCTGGACTGCCGTAGTCGATTGGAATTTAGTTTTGCTGAAACTTATTTTCCAACTGGTGAATTTTTTCTTCTAGAGCAGAACTATCATCACGTGGAAAATGTTTCCTATTCCCAGACCAGCTCTTAATAGCGACCTTTGTATTCTTAAGAATACTCAAAATACCAACTTTTTTCTTGTCCTTCCTGAACTTCTTTATGGACTCTGTAATCTTCTCCTCAAACCCTTCCTCAGACATAAGATAGCTAAACAACCTAAAAGGTCTCTTGCCCCATTTGTCTACCCCACTCTCCATAATTATTGCATTATGATCAGAGATAGATTTAGGTAATAACAATTGAGTGATACCAGAAAATGTTGCAGAGAAACTAACATTAACCAGAAACCTGTCGAGCCTGACAACAGTGAGATAATTCCGGTTGCTGCTCCATGTAAAATTCCCCCCAATTAAAGGTAGATCAATTAGCCCCGTTTGCTGAATAAAAAGACTGAAGATTTCCATAGAATTCCTGTTCTGAGTACAACCCTCCTTCTCTTCTTCTATTAAATAGGCATTGAAGGCCCCTCCCACACAAAAAGGAATGTTGTACCCATTTAAAAACAGACCCAATTCTTCAAAAAACCCAGCCTTTTCTTCTTCCACAGATGGACCATAAACATTTAATGAAACCACATCTAAGTTGATTGGATTTGAACTTCCCGAAAACAGCAATAAACCTCCTGTGAACATGCTGGTCTTCTTTCTCAAAAAAACTATCATCCCAACAACTTAAAATACCCCCTGAAGAACCTGCTGCCGGTGACTCAACGACCCCTTGCAACTTATTCAACCCACTTCTCCTTAAGAAAGATCTTGGTAAAATCTCAAGTTTTGTTTCTTGTAAAAAAAGAAACGTTGGTTTTTTCTCAGAAACTGTTTTTTGAACAGCTCTATGTTTCTCTTTTTTGCCCAGCTCTCTAACATTCCAAGACAACATACATAGCTTTGGCATCATATTTCTATTTGATAATACCAAAAACAATCCTAGGATTAACCCACGAACTCAGGAAGCCCCACTCAAGCCTTTCTCCAAATCTAATTATTTTTTTGAAGAAAAGCATTCTTCCCTTCCTTAAACGATATACCCAAAATCCTGCTGATCTCCCATGTAGCCATAGCTTCCTCCAACAACAAAGTAAAAGCTGATGAGGACAATGTAGAAACAACAGCATGATCTAAAGCATCCCTAACGAGAGATCTTTTAAATCTCCTGTTGAAACTCCTCCCCCTTGAACCATCACTGTCCCTTTCTGTAGAATCAGCAGCCTCCGAAAAATCAGAATGATATCCTCTTGGAATTAAAGCCCTATCCAACTTAATACTGCTCTCCCCTCCTGATACATCCACCCATATATTCCTTTCCTTGGACCTACTATAAACTCTCTTATGACTTTTAATTAACTTTCTTCCAACCGGGGCACTCTTCATGGATAAAGAGCTTGCAGAACGAGTATGAGCCAACTCTTGTACTTAACAACTTTAAATCTTCATCAGACCCCATTTCAACATAATTCCCTGGTGGATCCTTATTACCAAACACTATTGACATAAAACACTTACTATCCTTAGCTTTGTCTACATCCCCTGATCTGCTTGAGGAGCTGTGAATGTTTTTTTGACTTGCATACCCGAGCCCAAAAATATTAACTGCTGGGCCAGCATGAATTAATTTCTTAATGGGAGATAAGAGTGCACTGTTTCTCTCTGATTGGGCCTGTGAGCTTTTTTCTTCCTCCTTATTTCTAATGCCCAGTCCAGCAAAATCTCCCTTTTTAGTACTCCCTAAACTTGGAAAAACTGACACTCCTTCATTAATGCATTTCCCTTCCAAGTTTTTTATTGGAAACTGTAATTCTCTACCTGCTACACCAAACCCGACATACGCTCCCTGATCAATCCAAATATCAACTTTTTGATGCGCTTCCTCAACAAGTCGAACTGGCCCTGACATGTCAGAAAATTGTGTGTTGTCATCTTCCTCCTCTGCCGTGTGTTTAACTGCATTTTTCATTGGAAAATTTTTCCGGCGGATAACCAAGAAAAAACTCTGAAGCCTGTGAAGTAGATCCCAACTTAGAAGTCAACTTGAATGATCTTCCATATGATCCTAAAGTTAACACTTCCGGGACGTCAAACGGACTTGCCACCCTAAGCAAAATTTTTACCGTCGTGAGATCTTCCCTGGTTTTATTCGAATGGTGTATACCCTCCATTGAACCCCATCTTCCTGCTAACTTCTCCAGAAAATTCTCTTGCCAACATAGTAGAGGAACACCATACAAATCAACCAGACAATAAACCATTGGCACTCCACCTGCATTCAACATAGGTGCCAGTCAGTCGAACCAGAACCATAACTCCTCACTTTTACTCGACCATGCCTCCTTCATCAATTCCTCAAATTTGAATGTAACAACACAGGCATTCCATATATACCCCCAGCTCGCAATTTGAACTTCAAAACCTTCATTTACCAATGCTCTTTGAACCAATTCCAGGTCGAAATTAAGTTTAACAATGCCCGTGAGAGATCTTTTCACCAGTTTGAACTTTCAGTGGGAATATGCATTTCCCAAATATTCTTCTTCCCCTTCCCCCTGTCAAAACTATCATCTCTAGTTCCCATTTGCTCCGAATGACACTTCTGCATGCTACTCGACAACAAGACATCTTTGTATGATCTATCGTCTCTTGTACTTCTCAGAATCTCGGCCTCATCACGTGGTTTAAATTTCCCCTCTGTGACCTTTCCTTGAGCAACAGTTAATGACCGAGATGTACCAGCAGCCCTTGGACTATTTTTCTGGTATTTTGCGACTCCAACAAAACTTTCCTCCCATCTATCCACAACCCATTTATGTTTTCAACTGCCTTCCTCATTCCTGTCTCATTACTAAACTGAACAAAGGCGAACGTGGAAGATTTATACTTGGGTTTGTTCATCACATTTGGTATGAAGACTCGCACCACATGACCCTGGTCAAGAAAAATATTCCTTAACACTCTTCTAGATACTCTCTTGCTAAGGTTGTCAACGAAAACAGTCCAACTCTCGCCGGAGGAAGACTGACCTTTTCCACTTTCTCTCTCCTCTTTTCTGACTCTCACTCGTGATTTTTTGGCTTACAAGCTGTAACCTTCCTGATGTTGTTCTTCAGCCGTTCCAATATATATATATATATATTTGAAATGGAGCATATATGCACTATTTTCTGACCGTCTTTGGCTGACGTTGTTATGATTGGGAGGATGGTTTATGTGAAAGTGATGCTGATGGATCTTTCTTACATGAGAACTGGAACAAAGATCTAAACTCTTTATTGATGGGGAAGATGGGAGACACGGCTACTTCAGGTTTTTTTAACTTTTAATATTTGTAATTGTAAAACTGCAATTGCATTTTCTGTAATCTATCCCAATACCTGTTGTCATCCGTTGACAATGATTTTGTTCGTGCAGTTGTTTATATTGCGTGCAGAAGCCGAGTTGCAAGGTGATGATATGGCACATGCAGTAATAGATTCATTAAAAGAAAAAGGTAAGCTACTTGTTTGGTGGCTCTATGGTGAAGCCAATTCCAATTTCACCTGAAATGACAGTCTCAGCACATCCGTGATGAGCTCTTCAAGCCCAGAAGAGTTGGCAACCAAACCTCAGCTAATGTTACATACAGGGGTGACTGGATGAAGCGCCCAATGTCTGATGATGAGGTTGCATGGCTTGCAAAGTTGCTTATTTGGTTATCCAGTTGGTTGAACGAAAGCCTTGGCCTAAACCGCCCAGAAGATATTGATGTTGGTCATAAGTGGTCCTATGTGGATCTCTCAGGCGATGCAGCAGTGGCGGATCTAGAATTTAAAAAATATGGGTCCAAAATTTTAATGCTCATATTCTAAAAAATTTGGGTATGCAATTTTTTTTTATTTTTTTTTATTTTCATTAACAAATTAAACTAAATTTAACACTTTTATCAAAATAATGGGTGTGCAGTGGCTCCTAGGAGCCACATACATCCGCCCTGCGATGCAGTAAACCTGAGTTGACCAGGTGAGATCGTTAAAAGTCTGGTTTGCTTGATTAGGGCTATTAAGGATGGGTACAACAACAACAACGAGATTAATGAGAAAACACGGTTTAAGGATAAATCTTAGGGTGTTGGCTTCCAAGATGGTGGTGATGGTGTTACTCTTGTTTGTTGTATATAATGCAGTGAAGAAAGCTTTTGGATTGTGTCATTGATATTGTAAACAATTCAAACACAACAATAGGGAGAAATGTCCCCCCCCCCCCCCCAAACTTTTTTTGGATTTGATCCTCTTTTGTGTTCAAAGCAAAGTGCGAGGCAAAGAAATAAAATTTTCAAACCCCTTTGTATTCTCTAACTTTCCAAGTTTATAACATCTTTAACTCCAAATCTTTTGCACTAAGGAAAATAATGATTAATCCGATAATATTTGTATAATATATTAAATAAAATAATTAAAATTTATTGCTTAAAATTGAAAAAAAAAATTAATAAATCTACAAAGGAATCGCTAATCAGATCATTCATTAAATAAATATTTATACATAATATTTTTAAAAAAATACATGCATGGTAGATATTACAAAATAAAATTTGAATTCAATTCAATTTAGGTTGGGGAGGTAAAAAATGAGAAAGATAATCCGACGCGGCTATGAGAAGCTTCTCTTGCTATATTGAAAAACAATTTTGAAACACGTATAGGCTTGAAACTTCAACCAATAACATGACGCCATGTCATCAAGATCGAGAATATAAAATGTAAAACGACTAAAAAGCCACCAGGTAATATTTTTCGTCCCACATAGTTCATCCTACGATGTCCGAAGTTTCAAGGCTAATTACGTAACTTATCTCTCCACCTATTTAATTCCAAGATCGCCTACTTTAATAAAGGACAAACGCAGAGAAAATAATTTCTTTGTTTTTTGTTTTATATTTCCTTTACGAATGTTTGAGATTAAACTGTTGAAGTCGGATTAAATCTCGAAATCGAAGAATTTAACTTCAAATTCGAGACCTCGTCGTCCATGGCCGCCCCCTTTTTTTCCACTCCTTTTCAACCCTACGTGTATCAGGTAACATTCTTTTAAAAAATCTTCGTACTCTCAAGTCTTTCACTGAATTTTGCTTGTTTCATGAGGAAAAGATGGGAAAATCACAAGGAAATTGTGCATTGCTTCTTGGAAAAGTGTCGTGAAATTTTAATGGAATTTAGGCTCTACTTTTGCATTCGATCTCGCATTGTTGAAGAATTTTGATTGGGATTTCCTTAAATAGAGTTGACTTTTATTCCCTTTTTTTTCTTGAAATTGATCCGTTTATAATCAATTTGTAAATAAACTTGTATAAACTGCTGTGATCAATGTGAGAGTAGCTAGCGCGAAAGCCAAATTGGGGAACGGTTTCCTGATGAAACTAGAATGATAATGCTGTGTAGTTTAAATATTTCAGCCTGTATATTTATGTACGGTATAATCTCTTGTTGGTATAAAACCATTTAGAGTCCGGAAGATTCTGTGACCCCATTTCAGATATTGGGTGGTGAAGCTCAAATAGTTCAGGTACTCCCTAGTTTTTATCAAAGAATTTTCTTTTAATTTAAGCGTATGACCTCATACGGATGATTATGAAACTTTGTTGTTTAAATTTTGGTGATGGTTTATTTACCAGATAATGCTGAAGCCACAAGAAAAGGTTACTGCAAAACCCGGTAGGTTATTTGGTCTCTATTGGATTCCTTGGTTGGGTTAACACTACTATACTTTTATGTTTTAGTATGGGAAGATGGTCTTGATGCTATCACGATTCAGGACATTATTGTAATTTTAGTATATTTTGTGATCATAAGCTATTGTTCTTGGTAAAATTATGAATGATTAGGCTTGCTGGATATTATGATAAGTAAATTGTTGGTCGCTAGGCTAGGGGTTCAGCTCTTTATTATACAATTTCGAATTTTACAGATTTCCATTGCCAAGAATATCTTGTAGTACAAATAGTGACTAGAAGTGTCAAAAGTTCAAAAATGGAGAAGTTTTTTTTTTGATAGAATAAGGCCTCATTAAAAACCTCCTTCATATCCTACATGTTATAAACATAACATGAAGGACATAGGAAGGAGGAAAAGAGTGTCTCTAACTTTTATTAATGTGAACAATAATACACCTCCACACCTAAATAACTAACTACTAACAACATAACCTTTAAACCATAACTCTGAGTACATAACTCACCCTAATAACTCCCTTAATAAGAACAACCAAGGCAGAACACCTTTAACCACTATACAAACCCAAAAAATCAACCTATACCAGCTTTTTCTAATTCATCCGCTTCCCAATTTGCAGCTCTCGAAATATGCCTTCTGATAACACCCTTCCTTTCCACACGAGTAGCTATATCTCTCACCAAGGATTTAAACAAAGTAGTACTAAGGATCGGATTTTTAATCCACTTTAGAGCATTAGTAGAATCCGATTCCAAAATAGTCCTCTGACTTGGAATGTAATCAACTTCCTCGATAAGAATCAACCCTCTTTTGATCGCCAAAAGCTTTGCGAGTAAAGGAGGACCTCCCCCTACCTTCTTTGAAAACGACCCAAGCACCGAACCACTGCCATCCCTAATCAATCCACCTATTCCACCCTTATCCCAACCTTTGACCATTGCACCATCTACGTTTACTTTTAAGAACCCTTCTGGAGGAGGACTCCACCTAGAAGAAGGTGGAGACCTCTTTTTCAGATTGTCATTCAAGTCTGCTAGTTTTAAATCCCCCATCAAAGAATCGAAAGGAATATGAACATCCTTAAATACTGCCATCTCTAATCAATCCACCTATTCCACCCTTATCCCAACCTTTGACCATTGCACCATCTACGTTTACTTTTAAGAACCCTTCCAGAGGAGGACTCCACCTAGAAGAAGGTGGAGACCTCTTTTTCAGATTGCCATTCAAGTCTGCTAGTTTTAAATCCCCCATCAAAGAATCGAAAGGAATATGAACATCCTTAAATGAAGTTCCAAACCACGAAACAGTTCTGAATCTTGTAATGAAGAACAACAGCGCATAATCTACCTTCCCTTGCTGAAAAATTCCTCATTCCTACATTTCCAAACTGACCACAGCACAACCCTAGGAATAAACTTCCATATGAGAGATCTCGGAACTAGCTCATCCCACGCAATTAAGAAATCCATCAACTTACCCAGAACCACAAAGAAAACATTCCAGTACTATAAAAACTTAGCCCACAAATCCCACACCACATCACAGTGCAGAAACAAATGTGAGACAGACTCATTGCACTTCCTGCACAATGGACACACATTGTCTTCAACCCCAGTAACTCCTCTCTTCAACAGTTCCTCCTTCACCGCTACTCTATGATGAGCGAGTTGCCAAACAAAGGTTTCCACTCGTGGTGGAGCTATCCCTTTCCAAACATGTCTTTCCCAATTACCTTCTATTTCATCATTACCCTCTCTATCAAAATAAATTTTCATGCATTATTTTGCTGTAAAACAGCCCTCACCATTTCCCAACCAAATCCAACAATCTTCCTCTACTAATGACAATGAAGAACTGTTCAAGAGAGAGATAAGCTGCAACCACTGCTCAACCTCCCAATCCACTAAATTCCTTCTCGTTTGAATATCCCAGACCCCACCTGAATCATTATACAATCTGAATTCTGCAACCTTCCCCTCTTTGTTATTCGAAAGAGCAAATAACCTTGGAAACCTATCTTTCAGAGGAACCGTACCCAACCATACATCATGCCAAAACTGCACTGTTTCTCCATTTCCAGCTCTTACACACAATTTTTTCCTAAAACAATCCCCAAATGCATCACTTGAAAAGTTTTTAACAACTCCTCTCCAAATCCAATAAGTTAGGGTTATCCAAGTGTTCCGGATCATCATTGAATTTGGATCCATATTGTTTACACAACAGACAATTGTTTTCCACCAAGAGTTTTTTTCTGCAGCAAATTTCCACACCCATTTCCCCATAAGAGCCCAGTTTAGTAGCAACAGATTCGGAATCCCTAAACCCCCCAACTTCTTTGGCTTACACACCAATTCCCATTTGACTCAATGGATGTTCTTTTTTTCTGTCGATACCCCATAGAAAAGATGCCATGATAGAGTTTAATTTGTTGAGTACACTAATAGGGATCCGAAAAATAGAAAGGTAATAAATTGGAAGAGAGCACAACACTGATTTGACCAAGACCTGGCATTCCAGCCAATGATAAAGATTTGGCCTTCCAACCAGCCAAACTGTTATAAAATTTTTGTACAACCGGTTCCCACAAGGAAAAAGAATTCCTCTTGGCCCCTAACGGTAAACCTAAGTACTCCGATGGAAAAGCTCTTCTTTCACAACTTATTTCCTTGGCCCAATAAGCTAACTCCTCCTCCCCCACATTAATTCCAAAATTCTGCTCTTAGTCAGATTCAACTTCAGCCCCACCAGCAGTTCATAAATTAAAAGCAC